CCGCTGCGATTCGCTCGCGATTACAGACCTCATCCCATCCTCCCCGCCCCCGCCGCCCTCGCCGCCGGTCAGCTGGGGCCGACAGCCGACAGGCGCTGTCAGCACACTATCTCCGGCAGCAGGCCCGTCCGGCCCGTCCAGTCTGCACGGTCTACACAGGGGCCGCCGTCACTGCCGTCACCGACACCACACCCGAGGCCCACACTCGGTTGGACAGCGACACCAAGAATCACCGCGACCGCGATGTGGACGGACCGTGCTGCAGGGAAAGGGCCGTGTGAGACACATAAGTAGACACGACACGGACGCGACAGGGGCACACCTGTGGCAACAGGATGCCACTGACGGCCCATCGGCGGCGTCCTGCTACAGCGGTGCCACCCTCGGTCAGACGGCGGCAGCGGTCAGCCCTGGGCGCAGCCACATGTCACCGTACTTTGGTGATGTTGACTGTGGTCCGCGGCCCCGACAGTCGAGTACCCACGCCGTCCCCCGCTCAGCTCACTCGCACCCTTCCCTCGCCCCTTCCTGCCCGCCCCCGTCCTCCACCTCCACTTCCTGCTCTTTCTCTGGCGCCCCCCGTCACTCCGCCGTCACGTCACGAGCGGTATCGTCCTCCTCGACATTGTTGTGCACGACCTTCCCCTTCCTTTGCCACTCTTCACGTCACCCCCACGCACGTTCCTGTCGTCTCGTCGACGGGTATCCTCCTCCTCCTCCCCGTCGACTCCTCGACGCGGTGCTCGTCGCCGTCGCTCGTCCGTGCCGTGGACCGACCCCTCCGGCGTGACCCGTTCTCGTCACCACCACCGGGACCTACCTGTGGTGCAACAGCGGCGACGTTCGAGACGGGCGAGCGCGCGGACTGGGCAGGGCGATGGGGCACAGGTGGCGATCAGCTGTCACTCAGCCGTCACTCCACTCCGTCACTCATGACGTGGGCGGCGCGGGCCGACACTGGCCGCCGCGACGGCACGACGCGACGCGGCACGAGAGCGGGGCTGAGGGCGGCGAGGGGCGCAGGGTCCACCACCCAGCGCGGCATCCACAAGGGGACTGAGCGGCGCCGCGCCGCGCGCAGCCGGCACGGCACACCCTGCACCGCCCGCCCCCACCCCTTTACC